TTAAACTAAATGTGTATTGCTGTTCTTAATTTATCATTTGCTGGCACAACTGGTACTCTGAAAATTGTAGAGCTAGACACATTGAATTCAGCATGCCAAAAGTCATATATATTGACACCATGATCACTCCAATTGACCATGTACATCCCTGTAAATGCGAAAAATCCTTATTATCTTGAATAATGGCCGCCATCTTGGAATGTTAAGTGGCCAATCGGGTGGATTTTTTAAGTATCCCCTTAGAAGTCATTATGCCAAATTTGGTGCTTTTATCACCATTTGCACGATTCTTTTTCTTATCTGCCCCTCAAAGACTGATATGACTGATATTCATGACTGACATGACACTTGTGACTGACAGGGTACTTGTGACGGACATGGTACTTGTGACTGACAAGGTACCTGTGACTGACATGGCACTTGTGGCTGGCATGGCACTTGTGACTGGCATGGCATTTGAGACGGACAAGGCAATTGTGACTGACATGGCACTTCTAACTGACATGGCACTTGCAACTGACATTGCACACCTGACTCGGCACTTGTGACTGACAATGTACTTTTGACTGAAAGTGTACTTGTGACGGACATGGCAATTGTGACTGACAGTGTACCTGTGACTGACATGGCACTTGTGACTGATAGTGCACTTGTGACTGGCAGTGTACTTGTGACTGACAGGGTACTTGTGACTGACAGTGTACTTGTGACTGACATGGCACTTGTGACTGATAGTGTACTTGTGACTGGCAGTGTACTTGTGACTGGCAGTGTACTTGTGACTGACAGTGTACTTGTGACAGACAGTATACTTGTGACTGACAGGAAACTTGTGACTGACATGACACTTGAGACTGACATGGCACTTGAAATTGACAGTGTACATGTGACTTACATGGTACTTGTGACTGACATGGCACTTATAACTAACAGTGTACTTGTGACTGCCATGGCACTTGTGACTGACAGGGTACTTGTGACTGACAGGGTACTTGTGAGTGAAAGTGTACTTGTGACTGACAGTGTACTTGTGACTGCCATGGTACTTGTGACTGACAGTGTACTTGTGACTGACAGGGTACTTGTGACTGACATTGTACTTGTGACTGACAGGGTACTTGTGACTGACAGTGTACTTGTGACTGACAGTGTACTTGTGAGTGACAGTGTACTTGTGACTGACATAGTACTTGTGACTGACAGGGTACTTGTGAGTGACAGTGTACTTGTGACTGACAGTGTACTTGTGACTGACAGGGTACTTGTGACTGACCGGGTACTTGTGAGTGACAGTGTACTTGTGAGTGACAGTGTACTTGTGACTGACAGGGTACTTGTGAGTGACAGTGTACTTGTGACTGACAGTGTA